TAAAAATCTCTTATTATATTTTATTATTTTTCTGTTTTTTTTTAAAAACAAAATAATTAAATATCTTAAAAAAAAATTTTTTTTTCAAATAAAAAGCTACGGACATTTTTTGTCTTGATTTCATAAGCAGTTTTTGTATATACAGTTATAAATCTGATTCATTGATATGATAACACAGACATTTAATTATAGGTGGCGATAAATTCTGACCAAAACGTATTTCCATACTGTCTGTTTCACTTGTTGAGGAATCTATTGTCTTCCTCTTTGTAATGACATTTTGTTATGCTGAGGGGTGGGGTCTGGGAGTCTTGCCATATGCTCAAGGGAAGATGTTGGAGGTCTTGCCATATACTCAAAAGGGGGAGGGGGCGTGGGGATCTTGCTATATACTCAAGGGGGCGTGAGGGTCTTGCCATATACTCCGGGGGGAGGGGAGCGTTGGGGTCTTGGATTATACTGAAGGGGGGTGTGGGTGTGTTGCCATATACTCAAGGGGGAGGGATGCGGGGGTCTCCCATATACTCAGGGAGGGTGTGCGACCTGAAAACGTGTGGATACCCCTGTATCAACCCCCCCCCCCCGCCCTCGCCCCCTATCCCGGTCATCTAATGCAATACCCACTCAGAATCAAAGAATTACACTAATATTCCTTTACTTTTGCTGGAATAACTTCTAATTCATTTATACACGTTAATGATGTTTGTGTTCATGTTGACTGTAGCAAAAGCATTTTTGTTTGTACGAACCTTTATTGTTATATTTTAATAGCACAATTATTTACCTTTAAAATGACATATAATTCGATAAAATATGTTGCAATAAAATGAAACTTTAGTTTAATTTGTGTATACATCTCTTGGATGAAAACTGTGAACACAGAGTGGTCCCTCGACTTGCACAAGAACGGGAATCTCCGTTGAGCTGTTTGGACTAATAATAGCTCAAGTCGGTAAAGTCGGACGTGATCCAACATGGATTGTTTACTTGGTGGCCATGAGACTGAGGACTGCCTCGGTGCTCGCACAGATGATAAAGGCAACGGCCAGCGGACAACCAGCTAAAGCCAGGAATCGGGACCCTTAAAACTTGCATCGAACTTAGGCAACAAAGGAACAAACCTAGGTGTAATTGCACACCACAAATGGACATAACTAAAATAAGACAGCAAAGGAACCGTCCTTGATAAAGCAGGCCTTCAGGCGGCTAAAAAGGACTTAGCTTGGAATTTTTGTTTGATTTTTACGATACGATACGATGATCCAACATTTTAAAAAATGGGCTAGAAAATGTTGCGTGATCTTGATGATATCGCATGCCATAGTCTATAAAGTATGGTGGAGCACAGGGTTATTCAACTGGCCATCCGCGGGCCAAATCTAACCCGCGGAGACCCAGCAAGTGACCCGTGGATCATTCCTAGTTGTACTGTATTAATGACCTTTCTATGCTAGGCCTGGGGGTCTCTTGGCTCATGACGATCCCCATTTTCAAAATTTTGGCGCCCTGTGTTAACTTAATCGAACAGCCCTGTGGAGAACGGTTCTCAACCGTTTTTCGAACTGTGACCCATTATACAGAGCAGTGTCTCTCAGCTTTTTTTTTGTCACGCCACAGTTGAGCCTTTCTAAAATTCTTATTTCCCCTATGTAATAAATTGTAGTTTAGAGCCCCCCCCCCCCCCCCCCCCCCCCCCATCCGCGCCGCGTAGCGGCGTGTGGGATACCTGTCGGCGGTGCGGCATAGTCGCAGAAACAGGTCCGCAATTAGCATATCGCTGAGCATTTGTTTCGTTATTCGGAGCCGATCCTAGTTTTGCAGCGATTTATTCCTCGACAGGAAGTACGAATTTAGCATATGACTGAGGCCCTGTTAGGAAATTTTTTGGGCCGCCATAATATGGGGTAGAAGTTCGAAGGAGAGCCCCGTCTAAACCAAAACCTAGGATGCAATGACCTATTTTGTTGTTGTTTTCCCTGTTAAACATTCTCTTAGTCTTCACTGCCCAGCGACACCCCCCCTCCTCCATAACCTCTGAGGCTACAAATGCGGTCGGATCCCGTAGGTTGGGAACCCAGCAGCAGTTACTGAGAAAAAAATCGTCATGTTCAACCAGCATCCGCGCAGGGAAAGTTTTAGGTTATAATTGTGACTAGGTTATGTGCACCATATCTTCTTCTTCTTCTTTGCGTTCACCAGCTGTAAACTCTTGTGGAAAGTTCTGGTTGTTTGTTCACTTCTGGACTGCAGTCCTGTTCCAGAACCTGAGTGTTGTGTGTGCATCAGTTTTACAGATCTGACACATTGTGTGCAGACTGTTGGTTCCTTGCCTCTTCGGCAGATGCACTCCCACTTTGAAAGAAGCTCCCAATTAGTCGACTCTTACGACATGCTTTTGGGTAGGCAGTAGGTCTATTCTTCGTTTCCCTATACTAGGGCCCCGGAACCCACACGGGGATGTGCACCCTACAACATGGCCTAACATTGCCCGCAACTGAAAGCCCTGAAAAGGACTCCTGCTGTGTTGATGCGATCAAATGAGACAGACACAAATACTGTTCCGACCAGCGACGAAGTCGTCTAGTGTAGACGATCTGGCCGCATATGGTTGGGAAACCCTGGCGTGGCATCGTATACCAAATAAGCTTTAAAAAGAAAATATTTTTTTTTCTATTACTATACGGCTGCAATTAAACACGGAAGATCGCGGTAATGAAAAACACAGTCGCGTCTAATGGATAATTCAACAAACACAGTTGAAGAAAAAGGTCGGTTTTACAGAAACACAATAACAATATACTGTTGTTGTGAAAATGTTTTTCCTGTAATGTGGCAAAAATATTTCTTCTTGATTCTCTTTTTATTTCAACATGTTTCTTTTTCAATCCCAGGCTCGCTACGTCATGTTTTTGATTGTTTTTTGTTGTTGTTGTTTTGTTTCCATGAAATACAATATTTTTTGTAAAGGTGGTTGGGGGGGGGGGGGGGGGTGTCCATTTATGAAATAAGAAAATTTAGAGTATGCTGTGACGTCGGCGGACCGAACGGTTAGGAACCCAGGGCTCTCGAGGAAGTGTCGTCTCAATCTGGGAGCACCTCAAGGATAGGGGCCCTATGCTAATATGTGCATGTTAAGTGACCATTAACATTTGATTCATGTGAGTGGCTGTCGTAAGGGTCCCATCATTTTTTTGTTTTTGGGTAGGGAAAAAAATTCTAACCTGCACAGTCCGTGGCAACAGCACTAGACATGTGGCCATATATCCTCAGGCTCAAAACCTCCCCCCCCCCCCTTCTTTTTTTTCCCTCACACCTTTCTCTATCCACACTGCAACAGTTCAGATTCCGATTCCTTTAAAAAAAAAAAAGTCCACAACTTTCAGACTGCTGCTAGCTAGTGGAGCTGCTAAGTCTCCGCCTATATTTGTGGTCTAGGTTATTTGCGTCACTTACGTGACTAAATTCGAGTATTTGCGCCGTTTCTAGGCTTCATGCTTCCTTTCGAATCAGGCCGCTCGTCCTCTACCCTGTTGTTAGCTGTGCGTTTGTTTCCTTCTCTTTCTTGGTGTTTCCTCTTGGTTTAATCTCCCTCTGATACTGCAAAAGTGGTAGACACATGCACAAATAGCAGTCTGTGACATCTCAATAGATTTATAGAAAGCAAGATATATAAGGAAACGGAAGGGAATCTTGAACATTTTAGGATGGCTTGGAAGTGTAGCTAACAGACGGAGTTGCAGATTGCAAGTTGTGGATCACCCACGACAGTCTTTTTACGTGTCATCTCCTTACCGTTCACCGGCTGTAAACTTTGGCGGAAAGTTCTGGTTGTTTGTCCATTTCTGAACTTTGGTTGTGTTCCAGACTTTAGGTTTTGCCTGAATAAGCGTTTTACAGATCTAGATTATTTATATGCAGACAGTTGGTTCCCAGCCTCTCAGGCAGATGCACATCCGAATTTGAAGGAAACTCTCCTAATTAATCGCCTTATACGACATGCTTATTGTCTATTTTTGGTTTTCTCCAGAATGGTGCACCAAAACGCACACGGGAAACCCACCACAGTCAGCAATACACTTGATCATTATTATGGCACCTGAGAAGAGAAGGCATTGGTTAGCTACGATAATGATAGGCAAAGGAAATTAGAGATACACCAAGGGTGAATATAGCTGTGACATAAAAAATGAATGCAGGTAGGGGCGCCGATATGAAGAAAACCCTGGGGTGGGGGCACATAGATTTCAGCGCCCATGTATGCAAATGTAGTTTCATTACCTGCGACTGTGCACCATGTCCTGAGCTACTTCTGGTCAAGAACAATCTGCATTTCTATGTGGTCGTCCCAAAAAAGGGTCTGCCGGTGGATGGGATCCGCGGTTTCTTAGAAGTCGGAGCGCACCTGCCTAAGAGGGTAGGTGCCAACAGCCAGCACACAATAGACATGACCTGGAAAACGGATATATCTGCCAACCTTAAGCCCTGGATGAAGAAAAGAGTCCGGACACAGACGAAAGTCGACCAGTCAGGATCTTCCTTCACTGTTGGTGAAAGCGGAAGAAGAAGTAGAAAAAGAAGCGGAAGAAGAAGAAGGAGAAGGAGAAAAAGAAGAAGAAGAAGAAGACGAAGAGGAAGAAGAAGAAGAAGAAAGAAAAGAAGAAGATGAAGAAGAAGAAGAAGAAGAAGAAGAAGAAAAAAAAAAGGAAGAAGAAGAAGAAGAAGAAAAGAAGAAGAAGAAGAAGAAGAAGAAGAAGAAGAAGAAGAAGAAGAAGAAGAAGAAGAAGAAGAAGAAGAAGAAGAAGAAGAAGGAGGAGGAGGAAGAGGAGGAGTCAATGGACAAGAGTTTTTCCTATAGGCCATGATTAGAGGACCGTTCTAAAAATGACAGGCTACATGCTGAAGATGTAGCAGCTGATGTAACTGTACTACTTACCTTTATCTGGAGGTTGCTGCTGTTTGCCACAAATTGGTTTTAAGCCATTCTCTTCTTGACAGTAGACAGGAGTTAAACTGATAGGCTTTGAAGTCTTGACCACACGCGGCTGAGTTGCTGTTGTCGCAATAGTAACATCTGATGGCGGATACTGAATGAAGTATATAAAGTTTTAGAACAACATCTAAAAAAAAAATTATATATATATATATAATGTAATCTAGTTAAAAAACTCATTGTATTTTGAACAAATTATATGAACTTTATGTGCCTCCAGGGAACTCTGAACAAACTTCAGAGCAAAGCAGCAAGCAATTATTGATGCAGCCAAAGTGTTTCAGGAAAGAAAAATAAAATTAAAAACAGCAAAATTGCTCTCCAGTGTGCACAGCCTGTCAATCCTTCAGGCGACTCAAAGGGATGCCCGAGACAACACGGAGAGAGAACTGACCCGCCAGTTAAACAAACTCTCAGATAACAATTAAATCGTTCTCTAGTTGATCCGGGCTCATTGCGGGATACCAGGAAATGAGTTGGGCAGACCTGCAAAAAAATTGAACAAAGGAGAAACAACACACCCATTCATTGTCATTACCAGAATTCAAAACGCTTATCAAGGGCAAATACAAGGAATAGTGGAGAGAACCAACCAACAGTAAATAGCCACAAGACCTCGTTAGCAGACTCAACTGCAAGCAACATACAACAATTTGCCTTCTAAGAACAGAACACTGCAGGCTCAGCTACCACATGCATACAATACTGATTGTACAGTCCCCACAGTGTGAATGTCAGACGGGACTACAAACACCTGAGCACATTCTGTAGAATTTCCCCACAACTACGAAAAGAAATCTGGCCTCAAGAGCAAAGTGTGCAGAGCAGTCTGTCGGGAACCACAAAAAACCTGCAGCTGACATGCCAGTTCATAGAGGCATTCTAACTGACAATCTGATGTGAACACGCGAAACCGGATGCACAGAAGAAGAACAAGAAGAATAAAAAGAATAGGAAGAATAAGATAAAGAAGCAGAAGAAGAAGCAGATTGTTATGGGAAATAAAGGCATCTAGAGTACTACAGACATTGCGAATTAAGTTCAGTTCGGTCTATTAAAACATGGGTTAACATATTTCCGGTTTACCTCTGGGAGAGGAAAATTTGGACTTCCGTTGCTTAACTATATTAGCCATGTTAGTTAAAACTTTCCTTAAAAAAAAAAAAATCAAGTCTGATGCTGTATTATGGTTCGAAAGTTTACGAACTGTTGCTATTGATTAGTCTCATTAGAGTTTAGGCTTTACAGAGCAAGAGATGCACTTCTGCCTTGTTGACTTGACGCTAACGATCCTTCGAGACTCCCAGACTAAGTAATCACTGTTGTTCATCAAGTGCGCCCAGGCATGTTTGGCTAGACCAGTGGTTTTAAACCAATTACGGATGGCGCACCCCTTTCCCTTGAACAGATGGCAAGGCCTTAATGTTCCCACTACCAACCTAATATATATATGTGGCTTTGGCGTTGCGAGTCCGACGCGTAATTCCAACGTACCGCGATAGAAACCCACTGCTGGCTGCCTGGATCTTTATCATGGTATGGGGCGTCGCAGGTCGACCCAGTCTAAAAGGGTACCAGAATGGCTGTCCTGTGGAAATAAAGACGGCCGGCGTAATGCTAACCAGATTACCCACAGAAAAACCCCAAGCACATTACAAAAACTTAAAGAAACAAAACTCATAAATAATAGTATCAATTGGGAGTCGCCGTGGCGGAGCGGCTAGACGCTCGCCGTGGATCGGAAGGTCGTGTGTTCGCTCCCTGGCGAAGCCGGACTTTTTAAAAAAATGACTTTGTGTCACAGGTCGAACCAGCCTAGAGTGGGTACAGGGCGCAGTCTCGGGAAGTAAAGGTGACCCTCTTGATACTGACCACATCCCCCATCTTGTGCCGATTGGTATATAAAATATATGTCTAGCCTTTTATGTCCCATGCGCCCAAAGGCGTGGAAAAGGGTAATTTACTTACTTTACTTAGAATAATGTCAATTCTTCTTCTTCTTCGCGTTCACCAGCTGTACACTCTGGTCCAAAGTTCTGGTTGTTCGTCCACTTCTGAACTGCAGTCCTGCTCCAGAACCTGAGTGTTGTGTGTGCATCAGTTTTACAGATCTGATTCACTTGAATGCAGACTTTTGGTTCCTTGCCTCTCAGGCAGATGCACTCCGACTTCAAAGGAAGCTCCCCAATTAGTCGACTCTTACGACATGCGTTTGGGTAAGCAGAGGATCTATCCTTGTTATCCCCACGATAGGGCCCCAGAACCCACACGGGGAATAATTTAAATTAATACGCTGGTAATTTAGTGTGCAAATATCACTGTGATTGTTAACACTGTCTTTTTTCCTTTATGACATCTGCTATTTTTGGTCTAATGTCGGACAAGACACAATGGATATTACTCTTCTCGTCAAGTTGGAAGCGCTGTTTTGTTTTGAGTACACATGCATGCGTTCTGTTTCTAAATTGCTTGACGCCGCCTGGATACTTTCTTGCGCCGTCGGGGGTGGGAGGGAGCCGGTAGGAGGAGGCCGCCGCAGTTTGAAAAACTCAGGGCTAGACCAAAAATAATCTATCTACATCTAACGCATCTGGTTTTGAATACGAGTAACGCACGTTTTAGATTGCCAGGTGTTACTACACCTGGCAAGTTTGGATAACCTGTATATATTTATTGAATTACTCATCTTTTTATCTAACGTGTTTATATTTCTCTCCCCTTTTCCCCCCAAAAAGGCCGTCTTAATTCTTTTTTTTTAAATATTTATATTTTCTCGCATTACGTAATTCTGGTTTCATATTGACATGGTTGTGTTCCGGTTTTAAGTTAGGTTAACTTTTCATTCACAAGTTTATTGTGCTCGTGGACTTTCCTGAAGGTTACGGATGTGTCCCGTTCTGTTGTTTGGTTTATGTGATGTCTTGCATTTACGTTTTTCATTCCGAGAAAAAGAATGCCTATGACAAAGGTTGCAACACTCTCTAGGAGGGTTGTGTTAGAGCCAGTTTATCCATGTTTTTGGAGTGTTAAAAGCGCTGGCGTGCTGAAATATACAACACACAATATCAACGGCATTGCGGACCAGCCCCGTAACCTTGTGCGAAAGCCACAGGCTCAACAACTACTAATCAGAAGTGAGCTAGTGTGTATATGGGCGGGTCTATAGAGATCAACGTTATTTATATCCACGTTTTGTTGTCTTATCCAGCGAGTTATTTCTCGTTTAGTGTTCTATTCAGTCCTTCCCTGATAAGCCGTTCCTCCAGTCGTCGATCAGTTCTGCCCACATATGCAGCGTTATAGGTACACTTAAATCGATAAATACAATTAGATTTGGCCTACTTGGACACTGGTTCTCTTTCATTGGTGGCGTAGGAATTACGGTGGTTTTCAATTCTGATAACAGGCATGGCTGCGTAAAAGGTTTGGCTGACTGCTGTTTTGAGCCGGCCATATAAACGCTGCATAACATCATCTCCCCGATTTCATTTTGAAGGATTCATTTACTTGCTTCCTGTTGATCAAATGTTACTGTAGTTTGCACCTGACGAGATACAGCGAAATATGCCAGACAATAAATTGTGCAATCTATTGTTTGTATCTACATTGATTTGTGTTGATGTTTCTCTTCAAATTTATGTTAACAGTTCTTGCGATTTTTCTTTTTGTTCTCGCTGTAATCACATTTTGCATTGTTGGTGGCTGGGGTGGGTGGAGGGACAGGCGTGGCGTGGATAGTCTTGTAAAATACTTAAGGGATCGCCACCTGGAAAAAAAAAAAAGGCTGGATATCATTTTCTGACAGGATCCATAGACGCTTGAACCTGGGAGCTCTGGTAACTTAAGCGCTAGCGCGCAGACACATGCACACGCACGCAAGCAAGCACGCACCCCCCCCCCCCACACACACACACATATGCTAAACTGCCTGTACTAGCGGTCCTGGGACAAAACACAACGGATCTAGAGGAGATAGCCTGGAAAAAAAACCAAGCCTAAAGTGAATATACGTGCTGAGAGGCTAAATGGCTGTGGGATAGGCAGTCGAGAACGTGGATGTCTGGTCAGCGGGAGGGGCGTCGCCAGGCGTATGGACTCCTCAAGGACATCCATTGCATCTTCCCTAGCAGGCAGGCTCTACTGGGGTTACCGGTTATTTTCCGCTCCATAACAACTTCAACACAAGTATTTTCCATTTTCATTTAATTAGAATTGTCGCCGAAGCTATGGAGCACGCCCTATGTGCTTGACGTCATCTTCAGCAAGCAGCGAAGAGAGAGAGAGAGAGAGAGAGAGAGAGAGAGAGAGAGAGAGAGAGAGAGAGAGAGAGAGAGAGAGAGAGAGAAGAGGAAAAAAAACCGAGGAAATGGTGAGAAAAGAAAGCAGAAAAATAAAAGGGCATGAACCAGGAGATTTAGGCGAAAAACAGAACGGCTGGGGTTAATTCATGGGAGAGTGTTTTTTTTTTTTTTTGGAACTGTCGCAGTGCCAGATAGAGAGGGTCCATACTAGAGAGGTTGATTTACGTCTTAGATGTAATCATGCTTCATGAGCTGAATGCAGACAAAAATCACTGCCCTGGGTATGACAGCTACGTAAACCCTGCTGGGTATCATGGGAGACATGGGCAATGTCTGCTAGTGAAGGAGGGCTTGAAACATGTGGTGCTTGGCCTGTCTCTGGAATAATGATGTTAGAGAAGTGCAGGGAATACAGCTGGAGACTGGTAGCCTACGTTGGAACATAATTATTTTTTATGCTGCCGTGGGCTTTTTAGTTCAACAGTAGGACTGGCTAAAAGACCTGGAGTGGATTCTTAACAACAGGCTCCTTATTTGTGGGGATTTCAATGCACGGAACAATAAATGGGACAGTATTGGGGGAATCCGACAGTGAGTTGCTCTTGCTGACGCCATGGTTGATTCAGACCTTGTCTTTTTAAACGATAGGACGCCAACTAAAATGGCAATGAGGCCCAGCGATGCAGACACGGCTATTGACCTTGCTCAGGTTACCCGCTCAACAGTACCGGACACCAAATGGACTGTCCTGGGTGATCATGGAAATGACCATCTGCCATGTTTGGTATTGATT